AATGCAAAATGTACTAGTTCTTTTGATATGGTGTCATTTATGCATGTTTTAGCACTAAATAATTAACACAGAGACTTTTGGAGAAAGGTTAAGTTGAAATTAATTCTGTAACTGACTTTGTTTCGAGATATAATCTGCGACTATAGAAGCAAAAGAACCATGACCAAAAAGCATTTTAGCTAGCGATTTTTTCACTTTGTCCTCTTTGTAAATCCATTTGCTTTGATAATCAATACATGGCCTCAAAAAGCTTATTTTACCTTGCCTGATCAAGAAATGCAGAATGTCAGAAATCATTTATACACTGTTTTTTCACCTGGAATTAGATAATGTGCTTAAGATTTTCTGCAGCCGTCTCACTCAGCTAAATCCTGCTGAGGATTTAACATGCAATGATCAAGTTTCTTTCAAGTTTACATTTCTCAGGTGCCTTTTGGCAGAACCTCTGATTTTTCTGCTTTTAATTTTTTAGCTTGGCCATTAGCTACTGCCAGGCACCCTATCCCACCTAAACTGAGCCCCTTTCAAACTCAGGGATTTGACCCAACTAAACTAACTAAACTCTATAGAGCAAAACCTGCTTAGCGTTATTTTATCCCAGCAATGCCAGTAAGAGGACTACCCCTTGGGTATATGCATTTGCTTGATCTATCTTCAATGTTTTAAGTACAAAAGTGGTTATGGCAAAGAGCACGGGGATTTTACTCTCTCTCAGGGGGGATCAAAAATACGCCCTCTCATTATACCTAGAAAGTAAAAATCGCACAAGAATTCCTGTTGGACTTTTACCTCCAAATATGTTTACTCTATACAAGGTGTACTTTTACACTGAAAAAAAATAAGAAATGCCCCTGATTTTCCTTTGGATATCAAAGCAGGTACTCAGAGGCACTTTAATCAACATATACTCTCATCTATTAATATAAATGCTTCTGCATTCTCACAGATTTCAGACGCTGGAATAAATATCCCTGCAATTTACAGGTTCTATTCTAACAGTTACAGGAGAGACATCTGGCAATAATCTACAAATAAATAGTGTCTGAATTCTAAGTTTCTTCTTCATAACACTACCTAGGACATTTTTGCAGCATGATTCATTTAATCAACATAATACATTACAATGCCTTTCAAGTAATGGAGAAGTCTCGGTTCATTCAAAAAGGAGACTTTGTTAATAAAGGGTCTCCTTTTGGCAGAGAGGGGAAAAGGTGCTGAGCCGAAACCTCGCCGTGCCGCCTCGGCCCCACAGGCAGGAGGCACCACGCGCTGCTGCAACCTCCAGTATTTCAGAAGCAGCTTTTTCAGGAAGGACCAAGCGAGAAAGGGACATATTTACCTAAATGTGAGATTCCACAGGTGAAGCCAGAGTGGAGGTTTGCAATCCCCTTCGTTTAGTCCCAAAAGTTTTAGTTCACGACGAAGCCTGTAATAATCCTTTAAAGCCGCCAGGTAAAACGCGCTCCATAGCTGGGCCGTATTTTCCTTGGCCCTTTTGCAGCGTAATCCTGGGATTTGCATACGGCTTCGCTGCAGCCTATGGGACCTGCCGAACACCCACGCGTTGAGCGGCCGCCTCGACACGCTCTGCCGCGCGTGACATCACCAGGCGCCACAGCAACCCCAACCACACCTGCCCGGATGCCAAAGTTACCTGTCACGGCCAGACCCAACAGCACAAAGGCACGAGCACCATTTTCTGGGCACGCCGCGCTGCACACGGGGGAGGGCTGGATTTTAAACCCACGGAAGCCAAAGCCAGTCGTTTTCTTCGTCCTCGAGCATGGGACGAAACACCAGGAGTTGTTACTGACCCCACTAGCTAAACAACTGTGACCAAAGGCCTGCAGCAAACAGGCTTCAGCACCCTTGCTAAGGGCATGCTCAAAGTCTCTGCCTTTGCAAAACTTCCCATTTTTGCTCGCTGTGCCTCAGAACGTGCCTTTTTTTTTTTTTTTTTTTTTTTTTTTTTAACCCAGGGACTTGCAGAACAGGTTTGCAGCAGGGCTCACCCCCGCCCACAGCCAGGTTAGCATTTTTAACCTTTTCACCACAAACTTTCTCGCCCTCCCGGCCACTGTCCCAGCTTCTGCTCCCACCCGTTGCTTCTCTGCTCACCACGCTTGGCAGCACGTGCTCTGCACCATGGCAAACCTCAGTTCAACAGTGTTTTCTTCCTTGCTTTCTCTCATTTCTGGCTGCCTGCTGCCCTTCCCCAGCTGGCTTGTGGTGAGATCCCATGTAGGAACGGGACCTGAGGAGGCACATCCAGCAGGGGAGCTACCTAAATAAACAGAGCCTGGAGGGAAGCGTTAATACACGATGCAAGATTCAGCACTGGTCTAACTGCCAGGGCTGATATAAAAACATCATCTGATAGCCTCAAACAGACTTTCCTCCTAACATTTTCTTGCCATAAACTGGGGCCAGTTTGCTGTGCTCAAGTTCTGTAGGCTGAGAGAGAGGAAAAGGGGAAAGGTCCACAAAAGAGGCATTCTGGCCCCTTTTTGTTCGTTAGGGATCTGACAGGGCTTACAGCAACCTAGAAGACAAATCGTATGATATCCAAGGGAATGTCTCCTGACTGTAAATACTGAGTTGTTTTATGTTCCAGCTGCATCATTTTGACACAGAGATTAGAAGCTGGGGCTGTATCAGCGAATGATAGATCTCTCACAACAGGTAAATTCCCACCACAGGTAATGTTGGCACTTTCCAGATATTGAAGCAGCTAGAGAAGCAAAAGGAGAGGAAAGCAGCCTAAAGAATAAATGCTGACTTCTTAATTCATGCCTTTCCAGGTACCTTACAGATTATATGTTATATGCACATATCTGCAACATGCATAGCTGATTTGTCCTCTATACTACTGCTATCCACGTACATGAAATAATTGAATTATATATTCTCTGCCCCTAAGCAAAATTACATCACAGTCTCATCCACGAAGCTGCTAAGTGAGCCTCTATTGTATATGTATCTACATACATATGTGTGTGCATATGCATCCATCTGTATACATATGTATAAGCACACACAATACACAGACACATGGTGTGCAAGACAGGAGACAAATGGAAAGCCACTCAAAAGTGCAAGGTCATGATCATAACAATCTGCTATTGCATCTGATAAGCCAGACATTTTTGTCACATATCAACTAAGTAACAGTCTTACAATAAAGTGGAATAACTTATTTCTGTACTTTTTTTTAAAAAAATTGTTTAATCTATCTTTTTTTATGAAGTTATAGTGAACGAATGAGGTATTCAGTCTTTCACAAGCCCAAGAAAGATGGTTGGATGCTCTAACAGAAATTTTAGGGTGATTTTGTTTTAAAATTTACGCTTATTACATACAATACATATGTCTAATCATCAAAAAATAGAAGTAGGAGACATTCACATGAATTTTACCCTCAATAAATTAACAAGGATGACACATTTTAAACAAATAGCAGGAACAGTTAGTGCATTCCTTCTGTAATTTATTGGCTTGAGAAAAGGATCAAATTACAAAATGTGTAGGGTGTAATGCTGTAGGCTGTTCAGACTGGGCTTGCAGTGTCTGCAACACTGGAACTAAATATTTACATGACTCCAAAAGATCTAATCTCTGGATTTCACCCCCCTCACCCCCCACCCCTTATTTAATTTGTACGCTATCTTTATCCACCAGCCAGCACATTCCACACAGTCACTAAAGTTCACAAAGAGATAAGAGAAAAAAAAAATCAAGACTTTGAAAGGAAGGGGGGAAGCAGTTTAAAATATAAGGAGTAGATCATCCTCATTAGAGATGAAGACTTGCTGGAATTTTAGCTGGGCATACACGGATTCTAGCAGTTCTGTCCTAAAGCAGAAATAGCACCTGGAATCTCTAAAGTCCCTGTCAAAGAGAAAATGTTGGGGAGGGGGAGAATTACTGAGTGGCAATCTTTCAAAAGCTGTAATTTTCTGATCCCCAAAGGTTAAGAAGGCTTCCAAAGATGCACAGAATTCTGTAAGAATTCCTGTAACAGAGTACTTTGCAAATCTGTTTTTTCTTCTTTTTCTTGCTTATGATTAATTTGCTGATAGTGGTGACATACCTACAAAAATCTTTTTTAAAAAATATTTAGCGCCAAGCATTTGTTAAACTGAGAAAAATGGGCACAAGATTTTAAGACTGAACCCTACATTCTGTTGTTTTATTACTGAATAGCACGGTTACTTTTTGTATGGTTTAACAGATTAAACATCATCACTGTACTCAAAAACAGAGCAGAGTTGTGCTGTGAACAATTCCTTGCACTGCATTTTCCAGATTCTAAAGGTCAGCATGACAGCAGCCTCCACCTGTTCTGAGAAATACATCAAGGTGCCACATTTGCCATGACCCTAAATCTACTTTTCACTGCTGAAAGGTAATTGCAGACAGTTGAGGCATGAAGCACCTTAAGGCACATTTCTGACCAGCCAGCCTTGGTGTCAGGACAGTTTGGAGAAAGCAGCTGGCTGCAAGTGAGTCCGCTCTGTTTGTATGAAAAGATTCAAAAAAAGGAAATAAAACAAATGTAAAAGCACCAGAGGCAGCTCAAGCAGGTGGACATGGTCTACAGATGTCTTCTCCTGAGCCCTGCTGCCAATACTGAAAATGTAACAAAAGTTAAAAGTTGTTCTGTCTCTGAGATGTCGTCTTCAACTGTGAGAAGGGGAGGAGATCCATATTCTAAAAACAAGTTTCACCTTCATCTCTTTCTCTGTCTATAACCTAAAAATTTAAAACTCTTCAAAAATGTGGATTTCAACAAACAATTCAAAGGTAACACTGCACAGCTTGATTGACTTCTGTGATAACTTCTTTGAGTGTCAAGGGAAAACATAATTTCTGGAATATATCAAGAGCACCAATCTGTGTATGCTCTGTCACACTCTCACCTGCTGCACGGAGGTGACAGTCAGCTTTGCAGCAGTTACAGATCATTTAAGAAAAGCAAGATACGTGTGCAACTCTCATACCTGATCTCTCAGTCTTTCTTGATGTCCCATTATTGCTGTAGCATGATGGGGATATTTCTGCTTCAGATGTTCTAGAAAGGCCTCTCTCTTTCTGTCCATTTCTGACGTTTGCATTCCCAGGATTTCCTTGGAGCTGCGAGGGCCACCTACTGTATGTCTTCGAGGGATGTTGCGTGTAGACTTCGAATTAGACATATGACTATTTGGAGTCGTAAGGAGCTCCTTAGATCGGAGACATTCGGCATCATCTAATGATGTTACATGCAAACTTGGTTTTGTGTGCTCTGAAAAAGAGGAAAACACAATTTTATAAGAACTTTATCCCCACGTTCACATTAATAAGGAGAAAAAAATGGATCAGTAAAAAAGCTAGGTCGGTTTAAAGGTACAGTAGCAATCAATGGCCTGTTTTCTTCAATAGGCTCCAGTACACTTAATAGCCTTGTAACAAGAATCCTTAAGGATACCAACTGACAAAATTCTTTTGACAAAGCAGATTTGAAATCCTTAATCCTTTTTCAGTGTGTTTGCAACATGCTCTGAAAAACATAAGAAATAATAAAGAAATAAGAAGAGGGTTTTGGAAGCTTGCTTTCCTTCTGATTTCTGACTGTGGTCTGGTTTTAAATTTCATGGATCACTTTCAGATTTTATATGTCTCAGGACCGAAGGCTGGAAAATACATCACTTTTTCAATAAACCATTGCTTAAGAAATAAAATAAAGGCAAGTTTGGTGTGATATAAAAGAAGAAGAAAACTATGATAAATTTTATAACTTTAAAATCTACTTTAAGACCAAAGACCATGACTACTTTTGTAAAATGATAGGCAGACACAGAGGGTATGTAAGTGCTGGCTTATCTTCAGGTAACTGTGTAACATGAACCCTCTGGTGCATGAAAAAGTGTAGTCTGGAGGCTTGTTACCTAATACCATTGAAAAATCCATGGCTCTTTTGTCAGCAAAGAAAAAAAAAAAGAAAAATCAGAAGCATTGAAAAGGCCTCTCCAAGTCTGATGTAGCCCTCCTTGTCTTTGCTGTGCAGCCTCAGAGCCCTTGCTTGCTAGCATTAACCCTTTGCTGAACTGCCCAGAGCGCTGGAAGTTTCCCCCTTCACATGGTTCCGATGCAGCCTTTTTTTTCTCTCCGCCCACCACTTTTTTCACCAGCAGCCCTTCATCCCCCATGACAGCCTCCCCGAGCGCAGCCCTTCATACGGCTCTGCCCTTTGGAAACAGGCTCCTACTCACTTCCTTTAGAGGTCAATCCATCAGCTTGACACAGTGCCGACCATTTACCCCAGAGTTTTATTCTCAGAATATTTCAGCTTTCTGGCCTACAGCAGCAATTGCCTGCCAAGGCATTGTATCAGGCCCCAATTCCACATAAAACCTCCACCGGTGAAGCCCGCTGTCAGGGGAAGAGGCACGAGGATAAAAGGGGAGACCCTGAACGGGGAGTTGGAAGTTCCCATCTCTGAGAGTTCACACTTTTTTGTGACACTCAGGGACTCTACATCCTCGCATCAACATCCATCAACAATTTTGCAAATCGCACCAAGTTTTGATGAGCACAGAACCTGACACTACTTTTTAAACAGGTTGAGCCAAAATCTGAGGGCCGAAACTGTCCTGGCTCCTGCAGGAGTTTTGTTCTCCTGCCAACTCCAGGTGTCATGCTCTGATCCCTGTAGCCCTGGAGGAAGAGCAGCATTGAGCTGCCGGGAGATGCTGTGCATTGAAAGTGGTATGAAGCCTCCTGAGTTATTTTACCTGCTTTGTACACCCACTGAGACCTGGCAAAACCAAGTGTAGGATGTTCTAGCCTTCAAAGTGAGGTTTTGGTCCTCAGTTTACTGCGATCCCTTGAAGAAAGACAATGCCAAAACCCACACACAACACAGTCTTGAGATCTTTGGCTCACTTTGAGTAAAGCAGTCTAAAACACGCAATCCTGTGTGTGTTTTAGACACAGGTTTTAACTTCAGAGCGCCAGACACATGCACACAGACACTCATGACTACAGGGCAGTTAGGCTTTTCCAAGCACACCTCAATTACAAAAGCCTCCTGCTTCACCAGCTACTGCAAGCTCACAGCACTGGTGCCAAGAACACTTTGTCTGCTGGAGATAAGTGGCAAATCTCCAATTTCTGCCTGCAAGAAGTCAGCATAGCTGCTCCAGATGCCCTCAGAGCAAACGGCTTTGGAAGCCTGTAAAAAGATGGCATGGAATTCACCATCTGCGAGCTGTTGCCCCAGAAGCACAGCAGTTATATTCTTGAAGTTGTTGAAACAAAGTTGCCAGACATAAATAAAGGATTTCCTTAGAGTCGGGAGAAGTGAGTGTGGGTGTGCGTGATGGAACATGTCTATATGCATCAGTGCTGTATAAACCTTTAAAGCACTGTCACTGCAGCAGTTTCAATCACTGAATTGGTTGCAGGCACCTCCTCAAGAAGGTAGGTATACCTGCCTGGAGAAACACAACTGAGAGTGCACAGAGGTGTATTTCAGGCCCTAAGTCTCTCTCATGTTGTCTTTCCATGTATTTCCCTTACAAATAAAAAAATTAATGGTCAAAAGTTTATTAGTTTAATGACTTTCATAAAAAGCCATATCAAATGTTTTACCTTTGCATATTATTGCTTAAAACCTGAAGAATAAATTAAAAATACCATAATTTTCTAACATTATAGGAAAAGAACTCCAACTAATAATTCTACTATTTTTCCATACATTTGGAAAATACCATATAAATAGCAGTGAAGCGAAAGGAATGTGAACTATGCAAACTAATTGGTGGTCTTGCCAGCAAGCTGACCTGCAGCATGCAGCAGGATGCCATCGCCTTACACTACGTATCACCACATGACTTTCTTTTTCCTTCTCTGACTGCTGTGGTGCAAATCCATGCAAATCTGTAAAAAACAAACTAGCCTGGATAATATTATTCATCTTGGCTGACATGCAAACCAAATGCTCAAGTTCTGCAATGTTGGGATAAGGGTCGCCCCCTTAATGATGGTTTCAAAATTCTTCCTTGGCCATTTCCTTGATAGTGACGAATCACCTTGATGGCGAGGTTGAAAGCTGGAACTGTGAAATCTCACTGCATCCCAGGGGTCACATGAGCAACACAACATTTGCTTGGACCACAGTGTTAAAGAGTAGAAACTAAGAAACGTTTCCTGGATCTTGGAGTTGCTCAATAAGAGTGTGGGCAAACTTTCCGTATCTTTCAAGTGAAGATAATAGGCCTAGAAAATCAATGCCCACAGATAACCGTGAAATGTGTGAAGGATCATGTGATTGTTCCCAGAAGACAGCTAAGAGTAGAGAAGGGATAAGCTGTGTAAGTACCCTCCTTGGAAAAGGAGCAAATAGAAGCCAATGAAAAACACAGAAACAGAAGTGTGAGATAAGCCTGTCTCCCTGCTCCCTCCCTCATATTCAGAAGCTGAAAGCTGAAGGTCTTTCCATTAGCAAGTTCAGAGGGCAATGAAAAGTAAGACTTGCTCATTGACAAGGGAGGACTTTGGTTACCCAAAGACTTGGGTAACCCTTGCATTTGAGATGGTTCTCTGACCTGAAAACAAATGTCAGGATTTCTTAACTTCACACATTACTTCAGTGGATATAATCTACAGCAAAGTTACAGGTCTGCAGTGCAGAAGCAGTCTGTCTGGCATTATCCAGAAGCTTATCAGAAGGATTAATTGCCATGAGTCGGAAATACATGAAAAAGAAAACAGTCCTTCCATATGTCTCGATATAAATTCTTCTACTTAAGTCACACCCACCACAAAGTCTGCAAAGGTCAGGAAAGTCACTTTGCCTCATTAGTTAAGATTTTCTGAGGTTTTAAATATTCCTGTTTTGCAATCCAGGCGGCATAAGAGGAGAAAATTTTAGAAAGCAACAAGTATGGGCCTGGCCCAAACTGAAACTTTGAAACCAAACTTTGAAGCAAGGCACATTCACTATTTAAAATTTTTTAAATGAATATTTTTTATAACAGTATGAATAAAACCCCTGCTATATTTATGCTATTAGCAGATTTGAAAAGATTATTTCTAATTTGCTCCACTGTCTTTGCAATTAACTCCGTTTCCAAAGAACTTTTAGAATGTAACTTTTGGATATGAGTCCAAATTGCTAAGTTTGGCTGTGGACTCTCAGGATTCACAGTTTGGGGGGATTCAGAGGGTTGAGCTGGTCAGCCCTCTCTTTTCTGGCTCTACATGCATCTCAGTCTGCTTTATACAGCCCCTACAGAAGGACTATGTTACTAGATGCTCTTTTTCCTACTCAGACACATCCTCAAGATGAAGATTTCCCTCCCACTACACATAAACATAGACATGCACACATGGCATGCCTATTTTAACTTCAAAAGTTACTCAAAAGAGTGGCATACAGAATAACTGAATGCAGGGAATAAAATCTTTTTTGCTTGTTTGTTTGTTTTCTCTCCCTAGATTGTCTATGCAATTACTTTCTGGTACTACATACTCCTAAACTTGTGTCATCTTCTAAAACCACATGTACTCAACCGCATGCTATCTTTCTCATGGAAACACTGCATCCCAACTTTTGCTGAAGTCCCAGTGAGGAAAATAATCTGCAGGAACTGGCCGTGCTCACAGGTGCTCTGCACGGACGGTAATAGATGCAGATTAGATTAGGTATTTGTCATGCTACCTGAATTTTATGCAGCAAGGGGAGTATCCCACATAGAATTCATCAGGAAATAGTTTTCATTAGCTTTTAGACAAAATATAGTGCAGCAGTAATTGTACAAATGCACCACAGCTGACCTTACGTGAAAACCATGCCTGTAATTTCTTGGCTTCCTTCCAAAATAAACCCAACCACTTTCACACAAAGTAAACTAACCTTGTGACAATCTACTGTGAATCTCTGTGTTTTAAAACACAAACTGAGAAAAAGGCAATCTCTAATCTGCTTTCATAAAAGGAAGAGGTACTTTTCTGCAGTAGGTGAAGCATGCAGCACATTTAAAGAGAAAGTGACCTGATTCCTCCCTCCTCATGGGAGCAGCACCCTCCGTATCAGGCTGCTTAGTGCACTGCAAACTCTGACATCCATGCAGCATGCTCCCTGCCTTAAACGTTAAGCAGAAATCTCTCTAAAGTCAAACTTATAAAGTCAGATGTGAGGGAAATCTTCAGATCCGCACATGCAAGAAAGACATGCTTTTTTTTTCTTTTTTCCTTTTTCCATGCATTCTGCCTCTAGATATAAAAAGCAGCAACGAGGGGCATGTCTAAATGCAGCTCCATCTTTGCCTGATTCTGTTACTTACCCCTCATCTGCCTGATGTCTGCCGAAAGAGCCGGGCACAGCTCAAGTTTCTGGCTTTCGTTTTCCTCCATTGTCCCTGCCTACGGCACAAGCTCTCCCCTCCAAACTTTCCACGCGCAGCTTGGAAACCTCCAGAGCAAACTCTCGGGGAGGAGAAAGGAAAGGGGCTGCCCCAGCGCAGAGCTCCCGCTAAGCGCGTTCCGCGTTCCCGGAGCGCCGGGAGCCGCTCCGCCGCGGCCGCCGTCCCGGCTGCAATGGTGGCCAGAGCTGGCGGCTCCTCCGCCGGGGCCCCAGCAGGTGATGGGCTTCTCTGCAGGCAAGCCCTGAGCCTGCTCGCTTTCCGCGCTAGCAAAGGGAACATTGCAAACGTGATTACAGGCCTGAGTCTCCGCTGGAATCCGAATCCGAAGCCTTTCAAATCTCTGTCATGGGACAAAAGCTTTTTCCACAGAATATTTTCTTAAGCTCATAACCACCAAACCCACAAGCATTCCTGATAAATGCTCCTCTGTCTTTTCTAGCATGGAGTTTAAAAGTAATTCATTATATAAGCGCTTTGAGGTTTTGTTTTCTATTGAATTCTTTCAAGCTGCTCAGAGAATGGGTTAGGGAAAATTGAGATACAGGAATTCAACTTTAGTGAAGCCAATAAAAATGAATGGTAGCAATATGTAAGCAGGAACTTTGGTTAAAAAGGATTTTGAAGCCTCAGTAGCAAAGTATATAGAAACATGTAACAGTCTCTTTTAGTGGATCAAGAGCAGGAAGCCTGCATGTGAATGAAGGGATCCACTGGGCTGCATGACAGAAATGATGGGGCCAAGAGTGTAAGGCAAGGTCCCACAGATCCCATCAGATCCCCCACACACTGATTTAGCAGAGAATATTAGACCAAAGCTTAGTCTATTAAAATGAGAATACAGAGACAGATTTGGTGGAACAAATGGGGTACTGACTTACAGGATTAAAGTTCATGCACCTCAGAATTAGGTTAAGAAGCCTCAATTTAGTTAAGAACAAAATGAGATATCTATAAAAACTTGCAATTTCTCCCTTAAACCAACCCTCTACTGCATCACCAGATGACAACTAATATCCTAGATGTCTTTTTAGAGAGACCTACATTAATCTGGTTTTCCAAGTTTATTTCAGTATTCACTTCAACACTGTGTTGGTTGAATGGTTGAACTGACCTCTAAACCATCCAGTCCAGACAGGCTAGGAAAATTCTCCTGCATTTCTTTCTGCACCTCTATCTGGCAGAAATATCACTTAGAGTATTAAATGCAGAAATGTTGAGCACTTTTATAAATTCAGTATAGAACCTCAAGGAGCACCACTATTCTTGTGCCCCATCTTCCCCATTCCAGATGGAAAAATCTTTAAGTTAGTGAATTACAATTAGTAATTAATAAATGAACAAAACTATTGTTCATTATTTCAGACATACGTATCCTCTCTTTATAACCATTTACAAATGTTTATTTTGCTTTTTACCAATTAATTTTATATAGTCTAGGAACCTGGCAAGGGGCCCAGAAATTTGAACACAGAAAACAAAATACTAACATAGAAAAGATGGGGAAAAAAAGCAATGTAAACATTAGCATGGCTATTTAAGGCCTGCAATATACAGTTCCAAACAGAATGCCTCTATAGGAGCCTGATTTGTACAATGTATTTATTGTAGTGTTTTTACTGGCCTTGGGTAACTCTGTGCAGATTTTGACTGCAGACTATTTTAGGACTAGAAGGGAAGGCCATCCATCCTCCTTATCTGATTTTGTCTCTTATGATAGTGAGGAATGTGTCTTTAAAGCTGAACCTTTCCAGAGTCTGGACAAGCAGAGCTGCAAAATATATTCACAGCCAGCTGGAATGAAAGGAGGGCTCACACAGGAATATTGTGCACTGAGTGATCACTGAACATCTCCGGCTGCAAGAAGGGCTCAGAAACTCCTGATGGGAAAAGCAGGCCAATGCAGTCGCCTGCAGTAGGAACCTGAAAGCTATACCAAAAATATTTTTAAAAACCCTCAAAACGTAGACTTAAGAAGTTAAGGACACTAGTCCAGGACACCTGGTGGCCACAGGACACCTGGCCATGGCCTCACTCACCCCATGGAGGGACGCGTTGCGTGAGGGACATGTTGCGGACAGGATGAGGCATGGCCACAGCCATGGTAGCAGAAAGCCATCAGCAAGGGCCTAAACCACACAGAGGCCAGCCCAGGGACAGATGGCACCGGCACAAGCCTGTGGTCTGAAACCGGCTTCTGTGGCTGCAGCAAAGCTGCTAGGACCGACCATCAACAGCAGCGCTGATGCCACCAAGGCGTCTGAGTGACACAGGCCCCTGACACACAGAGACAATCCAGGAGAGAAAGGTGGCTTATTGACCTGTAGACATGAGACGTGCAAATGGGTGTCACCAGAGAACCTCCACGGCTGCAGAGGTGCCCTCCAGAGCAGGGTGGCAGGGCACTGGCAAAATGTGAGACTAAATGTTTCACACTCCAGCATAATTAAAAACCGAAGTGAGCAAAACAGCCGGCCTGGCGTCAGATGAAACGTAATCGCCTCAGCTGCTGCTCAGGATGGCTCCGTTGTGAAGGAAAGGAACAGTTGGAGCAGTACAGCCGCAAAGCAAATTCCCAGTTCAAGGGAAAAGCCCTCAGCCCCACCTTGGATTTAATTCATATATTTGAGGCCATTCCTCAAGACATTACCTAGGTCCATTTAAAGGAATTAATGCAACTTCCCAGGCCTTTGACAAACTGGAGATAGCCAGAACCATACGATGAGGCTCCATTAAAGCACTACATAGCAGAATCGCTGGGATGAATCACCAGTGACAGGTTAAATAAACTTGATTAACCAGTTTGTAGCATGCAATGAGAATTTGTTTATCTGTGGGATCAACAATAACAGCCGTTGCTTTTAATTACTATGTTCAGATCTGGGCCCATCAATATCAAAAATAGTGTGTGAAGAGTAATTGCTAACAGGATACACAGTTTTAATTGTGTTTGAAATTAATGTCCCAGAGCTACTTAAACATTTCTCGTTTCAGTATGTGCATAAAAGCAACAATTAACAAATAGTGACTGCACTCCATTACTAAAACTTGCAATACACAACAACGGCTGCACGGCTCTAACAATTATTCACAACTGAAAAACTGAGACGTTAATAATTAATAGGTAAATCAGAAGCACTCCATAAATAAAGATCTAACTCAGCTTCCATGTGAAATCACATTCTCACTGAGAAACCTGCCAGAAACGCTCTCAGTATTACTCAACCTAGCCCTGTCTAGCCTCCTTTCACTCGGAAACAAAACGAATATTGGACCTAAGGGGGAGAGGTCAGAGAATCCATGAGAAGGTAAGACCATTGAGCGTGGGCAGTCCCGCAGCACCCCTTGAGCCCATGAAGGGTGTGAGATCTCTCCTGGGTGACCTGGAGATGAGCAGCAGCCAGGCAGAAGCTCCAGGCTTCGGAGACCCCTGCTTCGGAGACCTTTAGAGACCACAAGGCCGAGCTGGCTATGGCCACCTCTCCTGCAGCCAGCTCTGGGCACAAAATGGGGAAAATAACTTTGACCAACTATGAAGAAACAGAACTGAGGGTGGTTAAACCCTAATTTCCACCTCAACCAGCACAGAAGCAGCGAGTTGAAGGGGCACGCAGGCTGAACTGCATTCAGATCCCTGGAAGTCACATAGAAGTCATGTAGCACTGAAATGCATTTGCACATGTTTGTGTTCAGTAGCATCTGCTCTGGCTTAGAGAGCTGCAGCCCTCGGTAGAATCTAGAAATAGATTCACTCCTCAAAGAAAAGGACTGTGCTCAGATATGAATATTATCAAAGATGAGACAACATAACACCAACTGCTAGCTCAAACAAGCAAAATGAAAATAACCGCTGATGTCTACCAATGTTAACTTACCACACAGAAGCTGGAGGGGAAAAGAGGTTATAACTGCTCTGAAATTAATTGTCTAGAAATTTGTTATTGTCTCTCACAGAATCACAGATTTTTCAAGCCTGAAACCTTTGTGACAATTTGGTCTCATCTGCTTAGCAACGAACATAGGGTTTCAGTGAACTGGTTCCTATCTCAAGTCCAAGGGAAATGGTTAAACTACTAGTGATTAAATAAAAGAAAACATCCAAATTTGGCTTTAAAATTTGCAATAACAGACAATATAATACAAACTCTGAACTATTTATCATGAAATTACCTTTTCTATTAAAAAAATCTGTGGATAGTTTAAAGCCTATATTTATGTTCCATATATTCCTGTTCAGTTAATGGTCATACATACACAAAAAAAAAAATCTTTTAGTGAAAGATTGAAATGATCTAGTTGAAAAGATTCTGGCTGAAGCAAAAAAGCACAAGTATGGAGTAAGAGTTTTCTACACATTTTCACAACACACTTTCCATCATGTCTTGTCACAGCCACAGGTTTCAGCTCCTTTAGAGGACATTATACACTGACAGTCATGTAAAACTATATAATCATTTTGAAAACTCACAGGAGTCACCATCAGTCTTATATCCTAAAACAACTATTAAAAAGAGACACAAGAAAGCTGAAAAGTTGATGTTCACACAGAAGATACATTCACCTTCCTTATTCCACCTCAAACTGTGCTCTGGGGAGCAACCACCGTCACCCACGATTTGACAGCGACGAGCTCTCGTTACATAGTGGGATCCAGGGTACCAGCCACGTCCACGCTCAGGAAGAGCCGCACCACAAAGTGCCCCATCCTGTCCATCTCAGGGTGATGGAGAATCCTTCACTTACCTGGAAAGACTATTTGCTCAAGCTAAAAACTCTCATACTTGGACACCTATGTGAAGGGGGTCATTTTGACATGTTATATGAAAGCAAGTAGGTTTTTTGTTTTACCATGTTTTGTTCTCTCCTCCTTTCCACTCGTTGCTCTGTTTCCTAAAATAAATTGAAAGCTCTGAAAACAGTAAGCACTCACACATCCTCTGAATCAAACTGAGGAAAAGGGCTGATCATCATGAGTAAGTGCTGATATTGAAGTTGTAAAAAAGAAAAGGCGATAATTCTCTC